TGGAGGGCCATTTGATTTTAGAATTTGTTTGTTTCCTTTTTTTTTTTCGTGGCTTCTGGCTTCTGTGGCTTCTGGCTTTTGTGGCTTTTGGCTTTCGTGGCTTCTGTGGCTTCTGTGGCTTTCGGCTTTCGTGGCTTCGTGGCTTCTGTGGCTTTTGTGGCTTTTTGGCTTTTTGGCCTATCTATCTATCTATCTTTCTTTCTATCTTTCTTTCTTTATTTTTTCTTTTTGGCAGCTGTTCTCCTTTCTCTTTTTGCATTTGCTTTTCCTGTTGTTTGCGTTGCAGAGACGAAACCAAACAAGGAAGCAAGCAAGCAAGGAAGCAAGCAAGCAAGCAAGCAAGCACGAGCTGCTCACCTTTGGATCTGGTGTGCTGCTGGGGGGGGCGCTGCGCCCCCCCCCGCGCCACGAAATCTGCACTTCATCCCCGACACCCGCGCCACGAAATCAATATTTTAAGGTGAACTCGCCGGTGCAAAACTTTCTAACCAAGCAAATATACCTCATCTATCTATCTATCGATCTATTTATCTTTCTATCTTTCTACATCCGCAAAGTATTACACCTGCCACGAAATCTGCACTTCAAGGTCCACAAAGTCTTGCGCCTGCCACGAAATCTGCACTCCAAGGCCCACAAAGTCCTGCACCTGCCACCAACTGTACACTTCCACATCCACAAAGTCCTGCATCTGCCACGAAATCTGCACTTCAAGGTCCACAAAGTCCTGCGCCTGCCACGAAATCTGCACTCCAAGGGCCACAAAGTACTACACCTGCCACGAAATCTGCACTTCAAGGTCGACAAAAAGTCCTGCGCCTGCCACGAAATCTGCACTCCAAGGCCCACAAAGTCCTGCATCTGCCACCAACTCTGCACTTCCACATCCACAAAGTCCTGCGCCTGCCACGAAATGTGCATTGCAAGGTCCACAAAGTACTGCACCTGCCACGAAACACGAAAAACAAAAAATCAAAAAAAATTAAGTCGCGGCCCGCTAAGTTTCCCTAAAAATCTAGGAGCCAAATCATTAGTGCGAGCGCATTTTCAAGGAAGCTTCCCCCACCGCCTTGAGGGAGGCGGGGGGAGCTTCCTTGAAGAAGCGTGAGCTTTTCCTGCGTCCATAAATAGTAGTAGCTACTTGCAGGTAGTAGCTACCTCTTCTACTAGCTACCTAGCTAACTACCTCTACTCGCGGCCTGACCCCCCTTTAAAAGAAGTCCTGTTTCATTGTTTCTTTCACTTTGAGAGACTTGAACCCTACACATTTTGGCATTTACGCTTGCATACAGCAATTTAGATTGGAAGGTGTTTGGCACTGAGTCCCCGCACAACTAAGATATTGCTGATGCGATTTCGGCGAAACCTTGCGGTTTTAGCAGGCAATGCAGACTGAACAATGGTGCAAAAGGTGAACCTTTCAATAAGATTGTTTACCAACATGTTTGTCAGGCAGGATGAAGGATTTTGTTCTTCCACATGCAGTATGGTCCACTTGAACCCTTTTGTGTTCAGGATGAAAAAGATCTTTATTGCCACAATATGCCACAATTATTTTGATCCAGGCTTTCAAACAAAAACCACCATACTGTTCCATACTGGTTATGCTGGCCACACCAGCAAGTGAACCGGATTTGCAATAAAAACTTGATTTTAGCAACGAGGGTGCCATGCCAGGAGGCAAGTTTCAGGAGATAAGAGCAGCGCAGCTCGAGCACATTGAAGATACATAAGTTTTTTCGCTACCAATGTATATAGAGGGATATTCATCCAAGGATTTGATAATCAAACTATCAAAGTCAACAGAAAGCGGAACAGTTGAACCATTTTGAACTGGAGGCCAGATTGACATGATAAGCGTGAATCCGCCAACATATTGGTCACTTTAAAAGTGGTAGTGCTGGGTTGGCACCAATCTTCAAGTTCGCATTCCAATTCAGGAGCAAGGACGCTACTAGGAGCTAAGGGCATCGCTACGAACGGAGCAAGGACGCTACTAGGGGCTCCTGGCCTTACTACTAAATACTAAACCTCACACGTGTTCTCTTTCCGCTTCGCTCACACGCTCGGCTTGCGCAGATGTGTGGCTGTTCGAGTTCAACATGAGCCCTGTTTTGAAAGATCCCAAGGATGAGCCCAAGGCAAAGTTGTCAAGCCGCGCAGTCAAATCACCACTTATCTCTGCATGAATTCTGTCAGGTGAATGATGCCGATATGGTTCGGGGCGCTTTGTCTATTGCCTGCTGCCCAAATTTTGGGATAGTGTTCTGCAGGTGGAAAAATAACTATTTCTGATAGAGCAAACTGCTTCCGGCAGTTGGCAAGCTGCTTCCGTATCAGAACTCTTTCTTGCACTCTTGCGGTTCCAACATATCGGATAAACAGACATGAAAAGTGCGCTTTGGTAAAAATAATAAAACAAGTGCAGATCAAAGCAGTATGCAGAGCTTTGCTTTGCAAATGTAGCTTTGCTTTTTTAGCTCTGATGTATGGAGCATTGTGTGAGGCCATTGCTAGTAGGTTGGAGGCCATCACTAGTAGGTTCCAGGCCGTTGCTATTAGATTCCTTTTGCTACTAGGTTGGAGGCCATTGCTATTAGGTTGTATGGAGCATCGGGTGAGGTTGCGCCGTGGAGCGGGGGCAGTCCGGGGCTTTGGGATTTCGCTGGAGAATTCCATGGGCAAGCACCACAACCGAAGGCGGAGTGATGCGGAGTTCTTGCAGTAAAGCAATGAGCCCCTAGTAGCGTTCTTGCTCCTAGTAGCGATGCACTTGTTACTACTAGTAAGGCACTTGTTACTAGAAGCGATGCACTTGCTCCTAGTAGCGTTCTTGCAGTTGTTGTGTTTTGTTTTAATGCTGAATGTTCACATTATTCACACGATTCACATGCACCAAAGCAAGTCAAGATGGAGGCCACGGCTCTTAGGTTGGAGGCCATCGCTCTTAGGTTGGAGGCCATCGCTTCTAGGTTGGAGGCCATCGCTTCTAGGTTGGAGGCCATTGCTTCTAGGTTGGAGGCCATTGCCAGTAGGTTGGAGGCCATCGCTAGTAGGTTGGAGGCCATTGCTAGCAGGTTGGAGGCCATTGCCAGTAGGTTGGAGGCCATCGGTAGCAGGTTGCAGGCCATCGCTAGCAGGTTCGAGGCCATCGCTAGCAGGTTGGAGGCCATTGCTAGTAGTTTGTAGGCC